CTTGGGACAGAGCACTTTTGTTTTTATTTTTTCCCAGAGAACTTTTGTCGTTAGTCTGTCCAGGCTGCAGTAATGAGATACCATCAACTGAATAGCTTATATTATAAAAATCAGAAGTTGGCCTGGTGTGGTGGCTCACACCTGTAATCCTAGCACTTGGAGAGGCCAAGGCAGGTGGATTGCTTGAGCCCAGGAGTTTGAGACCAGCCTGGCCAACATGGAGAAACCCCATCTCTACTAAAAATACAAAAAATTAGTTGGGCGTGGTGGCGCATGCCTGTAGTCCCAGCTACTTGAGAGGCCGAGGTGGGAAGATCACCTGAGCCTGGGAAGTTGAGGTTGCAGTGACCTGTGATTGTGCCCTTGCACTCCAGCCTGGGGGACAAAGTGAGACCCTGTCTCAAAATAAATAAATAAAATACAAATCAGAAGTTTATTTTCACAGTTCTGGAGGCTAGGAAGTCCAATATCAAGGCAGATTCGGTATCCAGTGAGGGGCTCTTTTCCAGATCTTACATAGACCACTGTCTTTTCTTTGGAATGTCATGTGGATCTCTCTTGGGCCTCTTTTAGAAGGGCGCTAATCCCATTGTTGAGGGCTCCGCCCCCATGACCTAATCACCTCCCCAAATCCCCACCTGCTAATATCATCACCTTGGGGGTAAAGATTTCAATACATGAATTCTGGAAGGATGTAAACATTCAGACCATACAGCTTTTTAAAAAATTGTACAAAAGTACTTGAAGTCTTGGCTTGGCCACTTTTCTCGTTTGTTTTCTTTTTGAGACTGAATTTCGCTCCAGTGCCCGGGCTGGAGTGCAATGGCATGATCTTGGCTCACTGTAACCTCCCTCTCCTGCCTTCTCCTGCCTTAGCCTTCCGAGTAGTGGGGACTATCGGCATGCACCACCACGCCTGGCCAATTTTTTTGTATGTATAGTAGAGACGGGGTTTCACTGTGTTAGCCAGGATGGTCTTGATCTCTTGACCTCGTGATCCACTTGCCTTGGCCTCCCAAAGTGCTGGGATTATAGGCATGACCACGGCACCCGGCTGGCTTGGCCACTTTTTTATGTCTCTTCCATGACCTTCAACTTCTCCTTGATACAGAGGAGCAATTGTCGCCTTCCAGAGCATGCGGGAGCTTGGAACATGCTTGGCTTCCCTAGGAAGAAGGGATGCCTGGCAGGAACCTCCATCTGCCTGCCTCGCTGCTGTGGACGAGGGTTCATTGCTTCCATATTGTCATGGCTGCCCGAGAAATGAACCTGCATGAACTGCCTGGGTGACCGAGCCTGCCATGCTGCCACATGCAGCTCCATTCGGACAGTCCTGTATCTGCCCCACACCTAAGGTGCTTCATGAGATGAAAAAGTGGACTCCTCACTTCATCACCCCAAGCAGCTTCTTCCTGGTCCCCGTTATCACCTCATGCCCAGAGGCTGCTTGGAGGCAGACCGGGGACTTCGCTAAAGCCTGACCACACTCCTGTCGTGTTCTCAGTTCTGATTTGGTCTTTTCCTCTTTTCCCTTATTTTGCCCTTATTGATTTCAAACTTGGATAGCTTTTCGTTCCTGCCAGTGGAAAGTCCCGGTCCTCATGGCAGCATTCTTGCTGTTCTGTGCGTCATGGCTGAAGCATTTCCTAATCACTTTGGACTTTTCCACACAGTGGCAGTGACCACGTTTGGACCACGTCCAGATTCAGCAGCCACACAGGTAGCTGATGGGAGGGAGACACATTTGCACATTACTTGAGGCAAGGAATTAAGAGACCAGCCTGGGCAATCTAGCAAGACCCCATTTCTGTTTTAAAAATAAGTAGAACTTACTTTGACTCTACCTTGTTGTACCTGGTATGTATATGGTGAGCTGACTTGAATTAATTTGTCTAAAGTAGCCCCTTCAAAATAAAATGGATCGTAGGTGGCACCAGATTGGAGAAAAGAAATCCACATTGAAAATGAAATTGGCCGGGTGCGGTGGCTCATGTAATTCCAGCACTTGGGAGGATGAGGTGGACAGATTGCTTGAGCTCAGGACCTTGAGGTCTGCCTAGCAACATGGTGAAACCCCATCTCTACAAAAAATACAAACATTGGCCAGGTGTGGTGGTGTAATCCCAGCTACTTGGGAGGCTCAGGACCTTGAGATCATCCTAGGCAACATGGTGCAACCCTGTCTCTACAAAAAATACAAAATTACCCAGATGTGGTGGCAGGCGCCCATAATCCCAGCTACTTGGGAGGTTGAGGCAGGAGAATTGCTTGAGCCTGGGAGGTTCAGGCTGCAATGAGCCATGTTTGAGCCACTGCATTCCAGCGTGGGAGACAAGAGTGAGATTCTGTCTCACAAAAAAAAAAAAGAAAAAGGAAATGAAATTGTGTGGTAATTGTGTGGTGGGCTTAGAGTAGCGTCTCTAAGGTTTTTGTGGTTTTGTGTGGATGTTTAGCAAGTCAGCCATTGGGGAAGAAGTGGAGCTTGCACCCTGCTTCTGACAGTCCTCTGAGATTCTCTGTCGGGGACAGACCTCATGCTGTTCCTCGCACTGTAAAACAAAAAATTAAACACTCCTGCCCCCATTTAATTATAAAAGTAACACACTTTCTAGTATAAAATCCAGAAAAGCTTAATGAAGAAAAGCAATAAAAGTTAGATCATGTCTTCATCAAGACATCATCTGTTAGCATTTTTCATACACATACTTTTTTTTTTAAAAAAAGCAAAATTGAGACCTATTTCTCCCAACATTATACTAAAAGCATTTAAGCATTTTCTCAGGCTGTTAAACCACTCTTAGGCCGGGCGTGGTGCCTCATACCTATACTCTGAGCACTTTGGGAGGCTGAGGCTGGTGGATCACCTGAAGTCAGGAGTTCCAGACCAGCCTGGCCAACTTGGTGAAACGCTTTCGGTACTAAAAATACAAAAATTAGCCAGGCATGGTAGTGAGTGCCTGTAATCTCAGCTACTAGGGAGGCTGAGGCAGGAGAATCACTTGAACCCAGGAGGTGGAAGTTGCAGTGATCTGAGATTGCACCACTGCACTCCAGCCTGGGCGACAGAGCAAGACTCCATCTCAAAAACAAAACAAAGCAAAAAACACTCTTAAAAACATCACATGGATGGGCCATAAATTGTTGGATCATTCCCATTTTGGGGAATATACTTACAGTTCTGCACTGTTACAGATAATATGTCTTTGTAGTTCAATCTTTGTTCTCACTTATGGTTATTTCCTTGGAAGAGAATCTTAGAAGAATTATTGAATAAAAGGAAGTGCATATTTCTTTTATATGGACAAACTGCTTTCTAGGAAAACTCACACTACAGTAAGTTTTCCCAGCAGAAAGAGATTCTGTCTGATGTTTTCTCTTTAGCATTTACTGTTTACAACTATTGATAATTTGTTAAGTGAAAAGTAGAACCTCATTGGTACCTTAATTTACATTTGGTTATTTGTGAGATTGAACACTTTTTCCATTTTTCTTAGCCACTTTTATTTATTTTATTAGTGTGTTCATGTCCTTTGGCACTTATTCTGTGAGGTGTGAGCTTTTTTCTTACAGATTTAAAAGAGCTCTTATTATGTTAAGGGAAATAACCCTTTGTCAAATTATAGATTTTTTTTTCCTACCTGGGTATTTGTTGATTGCATGAATATCTGGGTTTATGTGCATGTAAGTTTTTTCTTTTTCTTTTTCTTTCTTTCTTTCTTTCTTTTTTTTTTTTTTTTAAATGTAGAGACAGGGTTTTGTCATGTTGCCCAGGCTGGTCTTGAACTCCTGGGCTCAAGCAATCCACTTATCTCAGCCTCCTGATAATGCTGGGATTATAGGTGTGAGCCACTGTGCCTGGCCAGGTTTTCACTTTTTATGTAGACAGCTCTATTGTTACATTTTTCTACCTTTATGCTTGTTGCAAGTATTCAGGTTTCCTTCTGAATTTGGGGAGTGTAACTTTAATTTTAATTCTTTAATCTGCCTCTAGTCCTCTCTCTGGACCATCTGTGATTTTTCTATTGTCAGCTGCTGTTTGGATTAAAGTAACCTTGAGCCCTCCTCATCACCTTTTCCCCACATCCTTTTATATGAAGTTAAAGGTCACTTTGTCTAGGTCAAAAAAGAAAAATTCCCTCTGGGAAGCAATTCACAGAGAAGACACTTGGGTTTCAGTGGAAAAAAAAAAAAAAAAAATAGTGGAATGAGTAAGGATTCGTTTTGCAAAATATGACTTTGCACGGTTGTGAAAACTCAGCCAGGGCACCTTGCCAAGGATCCTATATACTGGCTGAAGAATCCACAGGGCAGTGAGTTGTAATGAAAAGGACTATTTTTGTACTCCTAGACTCCTGCAGTGAAAGAACTTGTATTATTTCCAAACCAGACACATTCTTCTGGTTGATAGATTTTGCCACTTCCTGGAGGCTTGGTTGTTTATTCTTAGGCCAAAGCTTCATGTTCTGTAAACTGAGCACGTGCTGATGCTATGTGGTCCATGAGGGCTCATCTGCCCTTTCCTGTCTAGATGGGAATCCCAGCCCTAGAGAGCGGGGCACACTGTTATTTTCTTAACTGTTTTCTAATTCTGACTCTGGGGTTCCATAGAAATTCTTCAGGGGTTTTGCAAACCGGGAAGCATTTTTGCCCAACACTAAATGTTTTAATCACCAAGAGAGTGTTTCGTTGCTGATTTTCTATATTTGGGTTCCCTCTAAGATTTTTGTTATTGTTGTTGGATGTCCTAAAAGCCCTGACCTGGACACTCTAAGATCTCTTCTAGTTTTTAAATTATATAACGCTGTATCTTCTATGCCAACACCTCACCCAGGAGCCTTTCCCAAAAGTGGTCTCCAGGTATCAAACTCTGTGTTTTTTTTGTCCCCCAGCTGCCTGGGTGGCTTTAGGGCATGCACAGCATCCTGTTTGGGTGTGGCATTCCTGACCTTCCTAAGAGTAATAGTAATTGATGATCATGAGCTGTATTCTTTCTGTCTCAGGCAGGAAATGTGGTGACAGGAGAAATGGTAGAAGAGCTTATTCTTTCTGGAGCAGATATCATCAAAGTGGGAGTTGGACCAGGTAAGACTTGTTAGGAGCATAGCAGAGGGAGTGTGTGGGGAAGAATGGGATCTGGGGCTTGTGGGGACTGGAGATCACTGGAAGGGGATGCATGAATGACTCATTCACAGATATTTAAAGCACGCTTTTTCTGGAAGCACACTTCCCCTGATGAGAAGTATTATTGAGTTGCTTTTTCATGCCCCCAGGGAACTTCTAAATGAGCTTGGATGTGGTTAGAATGTGAGGGCTTGGTTTCAGAACCAGTGCGGAAGAATGTAGATTTCACGAATGACCCCATACACCTTGAAGAGGAAGGTGATGGGTGAAGAATCCATGGAGACAGTTAATAAACATGAAGGACTCCAGTTTATGTGAATGTTTGAGGGACCCCAAACATTGCTTGCATGATGACACCACATTTGAACTTGACCCGTGGCCTAGGTAATTATCGCCTTTGGCTTCTCCCCGATACATATTGGACATAGATTTTTGCCCATGTTCTTCTCCCAGGCATGCTCTCAGGACCACCCATTGGCATCTCTTGAGTCTTGCTCTGTTGCCGAGGCTGGAGTGCAATGGCATGATCTCGGCTCACTGCAACCTCAGCCTTCCCGTTTCAAGCGATTCTCCTGCCTCAGCCTCCTGGGTAGCTGGGATTACAGGCGCCTCTGCCAGGCCCAGCCAATTTTTTTTATTTTTAATAGAGACAGAGTTTTACCATGTTGGCCAAGCTGGTCTCAAACTCCTGACCTCATGATGTGCCACCTCGGCCTCCCAAAGTGCTGGGATTACAGGTGTGAGCCACTGTGCCTGGCCCACCCATGGGCATCTTAAGTGGAAGAATGAGGTAGAGCCTTCTGTCCTTGTCATGGGTGGCACCATTTTCTCATGGGGCAGAGTTGCTGTTTGCATTCCCTTTTTGCCATCCTTGAAGATGAGCTGCCATGTTTTAAATTCCTCCTTGCACAATCGGTATCAGCCAGACACTAAAACTGAAGAGCAAGAAAGAAAGATACACATTTTCGCTTGGGACTAAAAAGCAGCAAAGATTTTTAAAAAGCATCTTGCACCCAATTCACGCTACCAAAAGAGGAAGCAAACCTAAACCAATATGAGAGGAACCTGGGAAAACACACAACTGGGAGGCGCGGGAGATGCTGTTGAGCTGTGACCTGGCTCCGTGATCGGCCCGAGGGAATTGGATGAAGAGAATATTAGGAGGAAGAGCCATGTAGGTTCATAAAGACGCCCAAGCTCTTAACATACAGGGAGATTTTCAGAATTAAGTCTTTGATATTGCGAATCATATAAGCCAGTTAATGTATTCTGGGCAAGTGAGAAGATGACTCTGGTCTTTACTATCTGCCATTATTGAAGAGACAAGGATAAAGCCCCATTCTTCCTTGCCAGGCTGTCTGCTCTTAGGGCAGGCTGTAGTAGACCGATAATAGAACAAAATCCAGCCAGGCGCGGTGGCTCACGCCTGTAATCCCAGCACTTTGGGAGGCCGAGGCGGGTGAATCACGAGGTCAAGAGATCAAGACCATCCTGGTCAACACGGTGAAACCCCATCTCTACTAAAACTACAAAAAAATTAGCTGGGCATGGTGGCGCGTGCCTGTAAGCCCAGCTACTCAGGAGGCTGAGGCAGGAGAATTGCCTGAACCCAGGAGGCGGAGGTTGCGGTGAGCCGAGATCGCGCCATTGCACTCCAGCCTGGGTAACAAGAGCGAAACTCCGTCTCAAAAAAAAAAAAAAAAAAAAAAACAAAATACAGTAGTAGACTAGGAAGATTCCCTCTTTTTCCCAAAGGCAGGGCCACTCACTGGTCACCTTGTTTAATCAGAAATATGGGCCTGATGTGGTGGCTTACACTTGTAATCCCAGCACTTTGGGAGGCCAAGGTGGGCGGATTGCTTGATCCCAGGAGTTCAAGACCAGCCTGGGCAACATGGTGAAGCCCTGTCTTTACTAAAAATACAAAATAAAAATAAAAAGGTAGTCAAGCACAGTGGCCTGCAGGTACAGTCTCAGCTCCTTGGGAGGCTGAGGTGAGAGGATCCCCTGAGCCTGGGAGGTGAAGGTTACAGGGAGCCGAGATCGCACCACTGCACTCCAGTCTTGGTGACAGACCAAGACCCTGTCTCAGGAAAAACAAAGGAAATACATATTGAGTGTGTGCTGCCTACCGTTGTGCTGGGTGGGTGCTGTACAGGACATGAAGGTGTGTGAGAAGCTTCTTGGCTCTCAAAGCTTTTTTTGTTGTATTTTTTTTTTCTTTTTTGACACAGAGTCTTGCTCTGTCACCCAGGCTAAAGTACAGTGTTGTGATCTTGGCTCACCACAACCTCCGCCTCCCAGGTTCAAGTGATTCTTCTGCCTCAGCCTCCCCAGTAGCTGGGGTTACAGGCATGGTGGATGCCTGGCTAATTTTTTTGTACTTATAGTAGAGACAGGGTTTCACCATGTTGGCCAGGCTGGTCTTGAACTCCTGGCCTCAGGTAACTGCCTGCTTCGACCTCCCAAAGTGCTGGATTACAGGCGTGAGCCACCGCGCCCGGCCCTCTGAGAGCTTTTCTAGATGTGATCTCGAGCATTCGTTGCATTTGTTTTTTCTTGCACATCTGTGTGCCTGCATTCTATTTCCCCAGAAGCTATTGTCCTTTCACTGTCACCGTCTCTCCCTACCCCTCTGGCTGGCTGTGTAGACCAGACGTGACTAAAGAGAATTAAGGGGCCTTCTCTGAGCCTGATGCATGGGAGACACTTCTTTAAATTGTTTGGAGACCATATTTAAGTCTTACACATTCTTTATGGTAAAAACATTGCTGGTTACGTATCTAAATGATAGCATTATTGGATGTCTATTGATTGATAGATATCATTCATTATTAAGCAACTTCTGGGAACTGGAAAAAAGCATCAGAAATGGATTCCCTGCCTGGGTGTTAATCAGAACCACTCCTGTGCCTTCTTTGAAGCTTCTTCCTTGGCTGTTTCCTAGAAAGCAAGTGATCTGCTCTTGGTAGGGCCCTTACTTCCATCAGAGTCTGGGGTCTGCTGCAGCTGAGGCCCCCACCGCTGGTTCTAACAATTGAACGGGAGAGGGGGAGAAAAGCTGAGGCTGAACCAGGGGCTAAATCCCTTATTCTGCCATGCACAACGTCTGGTTGCAGGGTGAGGGGCGGGGGGACAATGCCTTCGTGGGAATGAGACTTCTTGGCTCCAGGACTGTGAGTGACACAGAGCGAGACGAAGGGAGCTGCAGGACTTGGGTGGATTCTGCCCCGCAGCTGGTGCAGGAGAGGCACTTGCCCTGTCTCTCCTGGTTTCTGTGCTAAATCCAGGCCTGGGGAGCACAGACATGCTTCTCTGTCTGGTCTTGCCCCTAAAGACCCCTGGCAGGAATTAGTATCCTACAAGGTGGTGGCAGCCAGGAGCCGGAGAGGAGGCCGGGCCTCAGAGCGTTCCACCCACGGTCTGGTGGGCAGTTCACTTCCACCTTTATCCTGTCCCCAGAGCGCCCTCTATGTGCACTACAAGACATCTGGGAGGGGCTGAGCACGTGGCAGTGCAGAGAGGGATGTGGGGCTCTTTCATCCTGAGTCCACGCATTCTTTCAGTGACTATTTATAGTGCCTTACTGTATACAAGGCCCTGTTCTCAGCACCCGATAATAACAGTGGATGTCCTTGGAGCCCACCACCCAGCAGGGAAGACAGACCCTCAGCCTTCTCACACAAATCCTGATGGAAATGCCTGTCTTTGAGACTGTGATGAACAGCTCCCCTGGGGCAGTGACATTTAAGAAGAAGCTGGAAAGATGAGAAGGGTTGTCTAGACGAGGCGGGCTGGTACAGAGGGAGTGTCCGACAGAGAACATTGTGTACAGAGCAGCCCCGAAGGTGGGAAGAAAAGAAACTCGCAGTGGGGAGGGAGGGAGCAGGTGGCGCTTGAATCGGCTGTTCTGGGAGATGGGTGCTGTGGCGGCCGGGAAGCTGGAATAAGGGGAGGTGTGATAAAGAGGCCAGAGTGCGACTTGGCCTGGACCCACCTGGGAGAACACCCAGGACTGGGGCTGACCGGGAGACAGGCAGGCAGGAGGGTGCTGGTGTGAGCAGTGTGCTAGAAGTGAACCGCAGGGGCTAGGCTTCGAAGGACTTGAGGCGGAGCAGCCAGGAGGGAGACGGACCAGCAGCTGGGCCATGTGCGGGACAGAGCTGAGTGAGAGCAGGTGAGGATGTGGAGGCCAGGCTCTGGGCCAAGCAGTGTCCCTCACTCTGCCATTTGTTCTCTGCCACAACCCCAGGAGGTTGTGTTTCTCTGCATTTTACAGGCCAGGCAGTGAGGCTTAAGAGAGGTGAGTCATTTGACAAAGGTTGGAGGTAAAGAAGCTATGAGGCTGTGGGAGGATTCCGAGAGGTCCTTTAAAGCCGAGTGTATTTGAGAGGCTTAGGTAGGCAGATCATGAGGCCCAGAGTTTGAGACCAGCCTGGCCAATATGGTGAAACCTCGTCTCTACTAAAAATACAAAACTTAGCCGGGTGCGGTGGCATGTGCCTGTAGTCCCAGCTGCTCGGGAGGCTGAGGCAGGAGAGTCACTTGAACCCAGGAGGTGGAGGTTGCAGTGAGCCGAGATCACGCCACTGAAATCCAGCCTGGGCGACAGAGCCAGACCTCCCCCATCCTAAAAAGCAGCTGGGACTAGAAATGCAGTATAAGTTTGTAGAAAGGTGGAAAAGAGTGGGCGTGTGGAGAGGTTAGTGTTTGGCCACTGCATGGGAGCTGATGCCACAGGGAAGAGTGGCAGGGACAGGTGCATGGCAGAGGGGAAGGCGATGTCTGGGACCTCAGCCAGTGACGGCGATGAGGACCTGAAGGGGTGCATGGCCAGGCGGTGTGGTTCGCAGCGACCTCCGCTGTGCAGATGGGGAGCCCCTTCCCTACGTCTCCTCTGCTACGGAAGGTTTACCCGGTCACTAGGGTGGGGCTGTGAAGGTGATGGGGTGCATTTCCTGTCAGTCTTCTCATGCATAACCATCTCCTCTGGGGTCAACTTCTTTCTCTGCAGGTTCTGTGTGCACCACGCGCACCAAGACGGGAGTGGGCTACCCCCAGCTGAGTGCAGTCATCGAGTGCGCAGACTCTGCCCACGGCCTGAAGGGCCACATCATCTCTGTGAGTCTCCGCCCGGGACCGGGGCTGGGGTGTCTTGGGAGGCCCCTGCTCCCTCGCTGCTCCTTTTCTTCCGCTGGCTGAGCATCTCGTGGGCATGGGAGGGAGCTGGGCACTGCGGTCGCAGCGCCAACATTCAGCAGAAACAGAGGCCTTATTGCCCACAGATCCCACAGTGAGGGTGGCAGGCCCGTTGGCAGAAGCCATACGAGCAGGTGGGTGGTACATCCGACGAGGGATGCACAAGGAGCTTTGAGAACACAGCGTAGGCCAGGTGACAGCTGGCTAGAACAGTGGTAACAAAGCCCCTCAGACTAGGGGCTTAAGTGTCTCGCCGTTCTGGAGATGAGAAGTCCAACATGCGGGTATCGGGGCCACGCTCCCTCTCCGGCCCCCGGGGAAGGATCTGTTCCAGCCTCTCTCTGACCTTCTGCCGGTTCCTTAGCTTGTGGCTCCCTCCGTGTGTGTGTGTGTGTGTGTGTGTGTGTGTGTGTGTGTGTGTGCGCGCGCGCGCGCGCGCACGTCCTCTTTTCCTGAGGATACTAGTTCTTTGGATTAGGGGCCACCTTTCTCCAGGATGTCCTCATCTTAACTGATCACATGTCTTGTTGTTTCTGTTTCCAAATAAAGTCACATTCTGAGATGTTAGGGGTTAGGATGGCAACAATGAGTTTTTGGGGGGACACAGTTCAACCCATAGCAGGCCATGGATCCCATATTCAGGGTCAGGGAAGGTTTCCTGGAGTGTGATAGAGAGACCTGATGTTTGAAAAGGAATTTTTCAGATGAGAGGAAAGAAGGGAATGGAAAAGCACTGGGGAAGCAAATCTCGGTCGCTGCATCTGGGGCGCGTGAGCTGAGAGGGGCAGGTGTGAGGGGCAGCAGCAGATAAGCTTGGGCAAGAGCTGTGAGATCCAGCTTTAGGGATGAGACTTCTCCAAGAGCACTAGGAAGCTGCTGCGGAGATGTGAGCAGGAGAGTGCCTAACTCACTGCCTTGGGGAGGGTTGAAAGGGGCAAGATATAAAAGAGAGCCCGGCTGGGACAGTGTTAGTAACTCAGGCGGGAGGTGACTGTGCCTGGCAGCAGGCTTGAGAGTCATCTCCAGAATGACCTGACATTTGGGAGGCAGATTTAAACGCGTGTCAGCAGTGGAGTAGGTGCTTGGGGGCCGCCGGAGGGGGAGGAGAAGGAGGGGGGGGGGGGGGGGAGGGGTGGGGAAAGAGGAGCAAGGCTTCGGCTGACCCACCTGCTGGCTCACCTGGAAGACCCCTGCAAAGGAAGAGGTTCGGGGCTGGTACGATGTTCACTATGGCGCATGTTTGTTGATTTTGGGGTGCTTGAGGGGCATCAGAAAGGAAATTGCACTTGAGATGTTGGGTTCGTGGTCGGAGACCTGGCAGCTTTTAGCCCATAGCTGATGAGAGTCTTGGGAATGGTGCCCAGGTAGCACCTGGAGCTGGGATCGAGGTCTTTCACTCGCTGTCCAGTGCCGATTGCCTGGGCCCCTTCTCGTGTCTCATCCAGGTTTTTCACCCACTCATCCATTCATCCAGCAAGTATTTATTAAGCATCTACTGTGACAGAATCTAGAATAAATGATCAAAGGTTTATGGGTAAATGACAGAGTTCTAAGACCCTCCACTCCATACCCTTTGCCCTAGTGAACAAGCTAATACCCATTTATTGAGCAGCTAGTGTGTGAAAGGCTGGCATAAAACTGTCGGGCTACATTTGCTAAGAGGTTATTCAACACATGGGAGCAGCCAAGCAGTAGCACCATTCCACACTGTCAGTGGTTCTCACGTCCTGAGTGCAGCCTTGTCTGAGGCTGGCTGCATGAGAATCACCAGAGAGGCTTTTACAAATCGGCATTCCCCGGCCCCAACCTAGCGAACTGACTCTTTCAGAGGTTGGTCCCCAAAATCCCCATATGCAATTAGTCATGTCTCTATTACCTAACAGGGTTAATCATCAAGCATCTCCATCAAGTCGCCACTCAGACCCTATATCGTAAGCGGTAATTGAATGACGGCTATTTCCAAAGTAGTGGAGGTCAGATTAATAAAGTTTTACTATGAATGTATTCTGAGATCCTTGTATGTCTTTCTAGAAACTTCAGACTTGCTTAGTTTACAGGGTTGTTTGGCCAAAGATCAGTGGTAGGGTGGGGTGGAAGCTTTGTGTGCCCCAGAGGTGAATCTGGAAATCAACTTAGCATCTCTCTATACAGTACCACCTAATTTATAGTATATCTCAGCAGTTCCCTTAAGCATGGTGCCCAGACCAGCAGCATCAGTATCAATGGAGAGCTTGTGAGACATTCTTGGGCCCCACGCTAGACATGACCTACTTTGTCAAAACTCTGCAGGTGAGGCCCAGGAACCTGCTTTAACAAAAACCCTCAGGTAGTTCTGATGTGCTCTCAAGGGTGAAACCCACTGGCTTGTAGAGTAGAGGTCAGCACACGCTGGCTGGGTGAGTGTTCCTGAGCCAGGTCTCATCTGCTGGTGCCCAAGGCGGCAGCTTCTCTGACTTCGTCAGTTAGGGACAATGACATCCCAAGCCTGGGGTCCTCGTGCTATAGGAAGGTAGCACTTCTGATCCTGTTTGTGTGCTCCGAGGTTCTTTTAACATCAACACCAAGAGGTCTCCTCGATGGGATTACGAGTTCCATTTAGCCAGAAAAGCAAATGAATGGACTTCGTAGAATTTGGACCCTTGCCCTCAGTTCAGTCCTTGTAAGCAGCTGAGCATCTTGTGGTTGCTTCAGAGCAGCCATTGCCCCACACTCCCTTTGTCTAACAGGGCATGGGCAGGTTTCTCTCACTTGCCAGTAGTCCCGAACCTGCTGGAAACCCATGAGATGTTTTGGATCCTGCCACTTTGTCCAATTTCCTTCCAGCTGTCTCATTTTACACTTTATTTGCTGAACTAGCACATCGGTGCCATTGAAGTTCAAAAGCCACAGCATGGTGTCTGCTCAGCATGTGCTGATACTCAAAAGGCTGGGCTTCAGTCATGTTTCTATTTATTGTGGCCTACGTGGGCCTCAGAGAGGCAGAGAGAGGAAAAATTCAGGATCCCTCCTGCACAGGTGAGGACTAAGGTGGAACCAGTTACTTTTTTCTTGTCACATCATTATTTAGAAATAACCTAAACAAATTCATTCAAATGACTTAATCTTTTTTTTGAGGCTGGAAAAATTTTGCAACAAAATATGTTTAACCAAGGAAAAAGTTAGAAATGCAAATAAACCTAAAAAGGGAAATAAGTATCAGCAGTAATGCTGTCATCCTAAGATAACCGCTGGTTTTAAACTTGTTTTTCCATTTTTATAGCTGTGTGACCTTGGGAGAGTTGCTCAGCCTTTATGAGCCTCATTTTATTTCCCCCATCTACAGAATATCTCCTTCAGTTTCATGTGTTTGAATGGAAAAATGGCTTTTTTTTTTTTTTTGAGAGGGGGTTTCACTCATGTTACCCAGGCTGGAGTGCAATGGCGCGATCTCGGCTTACCGCAACCTCTGCCTCCTGGGTTCAGGCAATTCTCCTGCCTCAGCCTCCTGAGTAGCTGGGATTACAGGCACGCACCACCATGCCCAGCTAATTTTTTGTATTTTTAGTAGAGACGGGGTTTCACCATGTTGACCAGGATGGTCTCGATCTCTTGACCTCGTGATCCACCCCCCTCGGCCTCCCAAAGTGCTGGGATTACAGGCTTGAGCCACCGCGCCCGGCCTGGAAAAATGGCTTTTAAGTTCATAATAGTTGCTGGTTCTTGGTAGGTGACTGACTTGAACAACTTTCTCTGCCTACCCCATGTTTGCGGCCACTGCCCTTTCTTTGTTTGAGGCATGAGCAAGAACTTTTTTTTTCTTTTTTATTAATTGTTAGTATTTAATATAATGTGAGCAAGATTTTTGTGTGTTTTTTTGAGACAAAGTCTCGCTCTGTTGCCCAGGCTGGAGTGCAGTGGCATGAACTCGGCTCACTGCAACCTCCGTCCCAGGTTTTACCGGATTTAAGCGATTCTCCTGCCTCAGCCTCCCGAGTAGCTGGGGTTACAGGTGCGCACCACCACACGCAGCTAATTTTTTTATGTTTAGCAGAGACGGGGTTTCACCATGTTGGCCAGGCTGGTCTGAAACTCCTAACCTCAGGCGATCTGCCCACCTTGGCCTCTCACAGTGCTGGGATTATAGGCATGAGCTACTGTGCTGACCCTGAGCAAGTTTGCGGTTTTTTTTTTTTTTTTTTTTTTTGTACTTTAGATTCTGGGGCACATGGGCAGATCATGCAGGATTGTTGCATAGGTACCTACATGGCAATGTGGTTTGCTGCCTTCATTCTCCTGTCACCTACATCTGGCATTTCTCCCCATGTTATCCCTCTCCACTGCCCCACTGTGTCCCCCTTGCCCCGCTCCCACAACAGACCCCAGTGTGTGATGCTCCCCTCCCTGTGTCCATGTGTCCTCATTGTTCAACACCTGCCTATGAGTGAGAACGTGCAGTGTTTGATTTTCTGTTCTTGTGTCAGTTTGCTGAGAATTATGGTTTCCAGATTTATCCATGTCCCTACAAAGGACACGAACTCATCGTTTTTGATGGCTGCATAGTATTCCATGGTGTATATGTGCCACATTTTTCTTGTCCAATCTATCGTTGATGAGCATTTGGGTTGGTTCCAGGTCTTTGCTATTGTAAACAGTGCCGCTGTGAAGATGTGTGTGCATGTGTCTTTATAACAGAATGATTTATAATCCTTTAGGTATACCCCCAGTAATGGGATTGCTGGGTCAAATGGAATTTCTATTTCTAGATCCTTGAGTAGGCGCCACACTGTCCTCCACAATGGCTGAACTAATTTACACTCCCACCAATAGTGTAAAAGTGTTCCTTTTCTCCACATCCTCTCCAACATCTGTTGTCTCCAGATTTCTTAATGATCACCGTTCTAACTGGCAGGAGGTGGTACTTCAGTGTGGTTTTGATTTGCATT